ACATTATTATGAAGAGCTTTCTATAACTATAAATATTCTGTACAGGCTAAGATTAAGCATATGATAACTTGAAGATGACGGCAGTGATTGTGGAACTACTTGAAGCCTTGCCTTCGTACGTGAATATTGTGAACTAGATCGTCATGCACTTTATTTGCAGGTTAATGCAAATTTAATGACTAACAGGAATCACGCTTATCGATCTGCGCTTTTTGCAGTCTTCTGCATTACATAAAAAAATAATGCAACCGTTCAACATTTTGATTTATGTTCCTCATGTCTTTCGGTTTTTGAACGTCTGAATCAAGTTTCCAGTCGTTGCCAAATTCAACCAGTCAATTGGATCACACATAGCAGACAACGTCTGAAGTGCCGGCAGCTGATTGTTAGAGTGAAGTTTTATATTGATAATTATGAGATCTGAAAAAGCTGAGCAAAGCCGCCATGAACCCTAAAATTACCGCTGACGAGGCCATGACAATCAGAGCATTCCATGTGACATCACTTAATCATCTTAATGACTCAACGACAGGTCTGTTCGTGGGAACGATGTTATCCTTACACTTATGGAAGAGAGCAGTACTATTTATCGCTGAGGAAGCACATCACTTTATACACCTTTCGATCGCAATTATATTCGCGTATTTGAATTGCAACCTGGTCGCAATTTAGAAGCACCGTAAGCGTCAGATTTTACTTTTACAACATCATACATAAATTATTTATTTGTCAGCCGATCCGATCTCTTTGTGCAGTCGATAATTGTTGACCCAGCAAACAGTTCCATGCTCTCCAGCATAAGAATGAGAATTTTATCGCGTAGGCATTTTCATCGATCTACAACTCTGCTGTACGACTAAACACATTTTAATGAAGTAAAATGAAGTGTGACAGTTTCACATAAACTCAAGCTAAGTAAGCAGCCAAAATTGGGACAGTAATGGAAGAGTGGTATCCTAGGAAAGGACGCAAAATTCGCTAAGGAACACAATTGTTTCAGGAAGCAAGTTTTCTTCACATTGCTCATTAAAGTATGCTTTTTGCA